ATGCCAAAACCTCCTCAACTCAGGTTTATTATTAAACAATATTCAACCCACATAAACTGCACCTTAGGCCAGTGGTTCCCAAGCTGGGGATTAGGACTCCTCAAGTCAGTCCACAAGATGATTAATATGTCATTTCCATCATCTTTATCTTAATTGTTTTGCAGCCAGGTAACTAAGAAAGTCACACACTGGTTCAAATCAACATTAAATCCAGTATTGAGTCTTAAAATCAGCCTTAAAACCAGTGTAAAATGTGTGGAGAGAGATCCAAATAAACGCAAGCCTGCTGATGTCGGTTGCTCCCATTTAAAGTCTCAAACAATTCACATCCACTAAGCCAAGAAGAGCACACTAAAATGTTGAATGGCCAGTCGACGTCTTTGCAAATTGACTGCCAGTGTCATAAATCTCAGACTTCAACTATTTATTCACAACAACAGCTGAGAAACCAAACAAACATCTGAATTCAGCTTAAAATGACACTCGAGCTGCACTTGATTTCTGAGTTCTTGAAGATGTATATACTACTGAAGTTGAAACAGTTTTAATTCCAATCCTCATCATGTTGCTTATTGGCTCTTAAACTGGTGGTTTGGAGATGATGCACTGGAGCAACAAGTAGAAAACTAATATTTCTGCAGCACATGTTTTGCTTATTTTTCATTCTTTCCTTGTTGCTTAATGTATGTACAGTATGGTTTGATTAACCACTCTGTTGAGCTGGTTACAACCAACAAATGACAGGTGACATGTGCTAATACAATAGCTTCATTTTAAAAGGTAACAAGCCCTTAAAGACACATTTTTTAATTAATACAATATAGGTAATATATTGATAATAAAGGAATAGTTCCGGGAAACAGTTGTCATGTCTGTACGGTAAATATGAAGACAACAGCTGGTTAGCTTAGCATGAAGACCATAAGGAGACCATGGAGACTGGAAGAGTTCAAATTATCTTTGAGGTAAAAAGAAACAAGCAATGCAAACCTTCAACTCCAATAAAGAATAAAAACCTTCTTCTTCTTCTTCTTGTTACAGTTTTAGAACACAGTAGTGTTGATGTTACACCTTTTTTATTGCTAGAAATAACCTTTTCCTCTGGTTTTGGCCTGAGACGGACAGAAACAGCTTCTGCACATCATGATCTGTAAAAATAAACATCTAAAAGTAAAGCCTTTCTTTCTCCTCTTTCAGCTTCAGTGGAGGTGAACTTAGATGGAAGCGAGTGAGGCATATTTGACATCCAGCATCCTTTCTCTCTGGGTGTGTCTTGTCTGCCTTTGGCCCAAAGTTTGACCAAAATTAGTGGCCTGCTTTTGTCCATCCCATCTGCAAGGCCACATCATTATAGCCGTGGCACTCAAAACCCCATCATTCAGCCTCAACCTTGCACAGAAATAGTACTACCGCCTGTAGGGGGGAGATATTTTTGACCCAGGATCACATTCACTGGGACATTTTATTTTAGACTATTTTCGTGTCCATCTTTCAGATCTTGATTTGGAGATTTTTTTCTTGGCAACATGAAGTCGATTTAGCCTCAATATCAGGCTTTACTGTCACTTTTCTTCCAAGAGATCAGAGCTCATTATCATTTGCTCCATCTCTCATGAATTCCTGAAAGCTTTGCAGCTTTCACAAGATATCTTTCTGTCTAAGTCATCACTTCTAATTAAGCCTTTCTGGCCTGGGTTGTGGGTGTGATTCTAACCTTTAGTTCCTAAACCACAATGTGGTCCTGTTGCTGGGAGGCAGAGCAGCCCAGTTTAACTTAGAAAGTAAAACACAAAAATATGCACGAAATGGGAAACCTCCCAAACCACTTCCTCATAAAACAAGAGCATAATGGGAAAGACAAACACAACTGTCACATTCATAAAGAAAATACAGAGGTAAATGTTTTCACAGGGCTTGGTTGCACAATCATGAATCATTGGAGGACAGCAAATCATGAGGAAACATTGAGGAAACATTATATATTCAGCATTTGTAGCATTGAACGTGTAGGTGAGTTAGGCCAGAAGAAATTTATCCAGAGTGATTTTATAAACATAAAATGTATTTATTATCAGGGGACAGATGTCCATTTCTGCATAAACCTGTCAGCAACTGCAACATATCAAGTATCAACAAAGTAAACCAATCAGAGGACAGGAGGAGCTGTCCCATCTGGGCGGCTGTCACTCACCTTTCATGGCATCTTCTTGGCAGGTCACGGCGATCACCTGAGCCAAGGTGATGAGCAGGCCGACGGTAATCCCAGAACGTAACGAGGGGCCCATGTCTGCACGCCAGACATGCAGCGTCCTCTCACACAGTCGCTGCTACACAGACAAGGAGGTCAGAGAGAGAGAGAGAGTCCAACCCCGAGCTACAGCATCCAGACTGAAAAATCCAAATATCCCTGAGTGGAACAAGCTCCTGGATGAGCGATTACTGCAAACTGAAACAGGCTCCCTCTTTACCCCCCTCGCCTCCTCCCTCCTTCTCTGACTCTCCTCCTCCTCTCTCATCATCTTTTCTTGCTTTATTTCAACGCCAACCTCCTCCTCGGGCTCTTACAAGTCATCTTGAAAGATGCAGCTAATTAAAGGCTGAGTGAAATTTGTCCATGATGAAAGAAGATGATGATGTTGAAAAAAATACTTTTGAAAGCTCAAGTTAATCGTTTCAATTCAGGACGAGTAGAAATGCAAAATACACATTTACAGTTTGCTGCACAACCTTCGACTGCTTTGGGGTTCAAGAAAAAAGTCTGCTCGACATAAACCACCAAAGGTTTCATGTTTTGGTCATTGAAATTTTGATATCAGCAACTCATATCATGTAATGGATGCCCTCCCTGCCCAGCACCAAATGTCAAACAGACAAAGTTAGTGTCCAGCTGAAGTGACACTTCATCTAGCTGCTACATGTAGCCAGATATTTCACTCAGGAGTTGGTGGGGACCAAAAACAGAGCTAAGAGAAGAAAGAATATTAGACTAAGATTCTCCAAAACATGACCCCAAATAAATGATAATCGCTTGCTGACATGTTAGGCACCAACTTTATAAATTGATAATATGTCGGTATTGTGTTTGCAGCTTGTTGCTCTGCACCCTAGTGGCCAAATAATAAACTACTGCAGGTTTAATCCCGAGAATATGGTTGTTGATGAAGATTTGTAAACCTACACAATTTCAACCTGTGTCAGAGAAAAGTATTACAGTATAATGTGAAGTATAAAGAAGATTTTTGTTTACATATTATAGCACAGAACCAAAGCTGAAGGAACACCAAAATGAATGATTGTTTGGTATTTGTACTGTATCAATTGTACCTGAAGTAATTTGTTGCAAATAAAGCAACCTTCAGACAAAAATAAACGTTTATTTTGCCATCTCCCTGAAATTCTTGTCGACCAAAGGCTGTGCACTCCAGCTTGAGCGGTTTACAATGTGCATGTTACATTCATCTGATGTGTTTTCCAGTGCAAAGCTCTGCCAAGTCGGTGCGTCAAGCAGACCATCGGCCCTTGAGGTGATGTCCCGGAGGTAGAGAACAAAACAAACATCATGTCTTCTTTGCTGTCGTCTCTGGTAATACAAAAAACTGTGTTCTTAACAAGAGATTTTGAGTTATCAAAAGCCTTCCAAAAGTCATATTTTTGTCAGTGGATGAGGTGCATTTCACTTGCTGCAACAACTTGGGTCAGGAAGTGCTTGAGTTGAGAGCAGACTGATTTCCCATTAAAGAGTCAGAGAGCCACGGGGGACAGAAACTGAAGCAGATGGGAAGACAGTTCCTCCATCAAATGAGACCTCAGCTTCCTTACGTTCATAGTTTTTTATGCAGTGTGATGAAGGAAATATCCATTTGTCCATTAAGTGTCAGCCCTTGAAACAGTGTAGACTATTTTAAAGAGTCATCAAACTGGTCTACAAGCTGTACTCTTTGCAACTGGTTCAACTCTTCTTATTATCAGTCACCACACTGCAAAACAAGTGAGTGATTCAACATCAACCATCTCTGCATTGATCTGTAAAAACTGCACATATGTTGGAAGGTATTGCACTGAACTCATCTTATAAAAACAATTAGAACTTGTAAAGATGCTATTTATCACCCGCACTCGCTGCTTTTCCCCATTAGAAAGTCTGCAGGTGATTCCAGGTGAAAGCTGTAGGTACTTACTGATAATCCACTTTGGGAAACTGAAGAGATTCAAACCTGAAATTCCTGGCAGCACGCCTAAATGTAAATTGCAGTGTGATGATTTCTTTTATAGCTTCCAAGAAACTACAAGACGTCTCTTGGCCAAGACGTGAGAAGAATTACAGGGAGCGCAATGCATAGAAAACTAATACTGACCACAGCTCTTGTGGTGAAAGAAAGCTTCTTACATGTGGCATTTAAAACCTAAAAACATACAGGCTATTTCTGGAGGTACAGACTAGACAGCAGTGCAACCACAGCAGAGATCAGCCCATGATCACACACACACACACACACACACACACACACACACACACACACACACAGACCAGGACATTATCCAAACTGAACAAAAATAAGTGCAATAAAATACTTTAGATCTTACAACAAAAACACAGACATCCCTGAAAAATAGCATTATTTTAGGCTGTTTTAAGTTTAATCTGTGAAAAGAAGTGAAAACAATAAGTTGTGGCAGGTCAGCAGTTTGAGATAATGTGCTGGTAAAAAGTGAAACATTTTCCAATTATTAGTTTTTTCCCTCCTCATTTGTCATGTGACAGGAAGCTGCAGGCCTACAATGACCTATCACGTTAACACACATCTTGTCCCGTATTCCCTTACACACTATGCCTGCATTATTTAACATTTCACGAGTCTGAAAGAACACTCTCGAATTGGCTTCCCCGTTGAGATAAGCAGCTCTGAGCTCACCAGACATGGACCCAGCAGTGTGTGTGACTTAGTGGAACAATATAATTCTGTTTTTTTACCTGGTTAGATACTCATGCATCACTCGACATGTTTGCTGCAGCCACTAAGAACTTTGTGAAGCAGGTTGGGGACACCGGGAGTTTGATCCCCGTCCCGAGCCTGAGCGAGGCCGACCGCTACCAGCCCCTCAGCCTGGTCACCAGGAAGAGGAAGAGGCATTTCTGGAAGAAGAACAAGTACGCCTCGACCCCCTTCTCACTGAAGGACATCCTGGTAGGGGAGAAAGAGATCACAGCAGGTACACCGATGAAACAGAATTATGAGGATCAACTGTTGAGTATTTATTGTGAAATGTTGATTGTGGATTTTTTTACATTAAAATGTCCCAATTGTGTTCTCTTTAAGGAGCTTCAAGGTTGAAATAAAGTATCATACTTAATGTTTCAGCTTGTTCCAGCTCTACATTGAAGATGTATGATTTTAAAATGAAATCCAATCAATTGGAAATATTCCAGATGTCTTCTGCATCATTTTATACACATTTCCTAAAAATTCAATCTGAGATATTTGGTATCTTTGGAAATGTTGGGATCCCCACTTTAAAATAAAGTTATTTGGGTCTGAACAATGTCGAGCAGCACAGCATGCACTTTTGAGAGGGTTAGTGAGGTTTCAGAGGTACAATAGAACTCAGTATCCCACAATTTTAAGGACAAATTCATTGTGGACACTGTAAAATCATCGGGCATAAACCTGACCATAAACTCAATCAGTCATATAGTCCACAGCTAGCCCATTAGCTTGTTAGCTTTCTTGCAAAGCCATGGGGTTTGTATTCACATTTCAACCTCCTATAATTAATAGTGAGAGAAAATTGTGTAATATTTCCACCGGTGAAAGAAGTATTTCAGTAAAAGTAGAAGTACAAGTTAACGTTATGTACTGGAAATGTTTGTAAAATGTAAAAGTATTCAAGTATTGTCACAAAAATGTACTTTAAAAAACAAAACTATATTTATATTATATCATTGAATAGCCCCGATGTATTAATGTGTAAGCAGCGTTTTACTGCTGTGGCTGGACCACATTGTAACTACTTCCCTATCTATAAGCTCCTCATGTTTTTAATAGGAAATTAGCTGTCAAAATATTGTTGTGAGGTAAAATGTACAATATTTTCCTTTTAAATTATAGTGGGATAGAAGAATAAACATGCAGAAAACACAACTTCCTTTTTTTTATTGTGAAACAGGAGTGTCTTCTTATCAGCTCCTCAACTACGAGGACAAATCTGACGTCGCCCTCAATGGCCGTTTAGGAAACCACCTCATCAACGACGTGGGGTTCAACATCAGCGGGTCAGACTCTGTAGCCGTCAAAGCCTCTTTCGGCATTGTGACCAAACACGAGCTGGAAGTTCCCACCTTACTGCGAGAGCTCAACTCCAGGTGACAGGTGTTTAGATGTCTAGATTCTGACAATGGCTATAAGTTGATACACGACCTTTGACCTCCTTGTGACAGAGGGAATGTGAGAAGACGTGTTTCCTTGTAGGGATGAATAAATGATCATGTTATTCTACACTGGCACACATACAGGACAGGGTCTACATACAGGAAGACAATGCGGGAAAATAAACAGTGTTGTTTGAGGTTTATTATGTTAGAAATATTGTTTTTTAGCAACAAGAATGCACGACCACATGACAAATTTCCTTTTTCTGTCTTTTAGGAAAGTGGACCTGGACCACTGCCTGGTTCGTCAGTCTAAGGAGAGCGGTCGGACCATTCTCTGTGTGGTTGTGGAGAGCATCCGCACCACACGCCAGTGCTCTCTGACCGTCCACGCCGGGATGAGAGGGACCACCATGAGGGTAAACATACACTAATACAGTGTTACATTCAGCTCACTTTTGGAATGCAATTTCTGCTGAATACAAATCTAATTGGAGACAATAATTCATACCAAGATGTTCCAGATTTACTGATTTAAAACCAGGTACCAATGGTGAATATGTAATACTTTTAATAGGCATCCTCTATTTAAAGATGGCACCAGTTTAAAAGCTTTCTTTATTATGAAACTGATGGCTTTACTGTATTGAAAAGGCAAATTTAAAGTTCAAGTTTCAAGAAAGTTAGGTAAAATTTAATAAAATGGCCACTAATAGTTTTGCGTTTCTCAAAGTCACCTCAATCCAGCTCTTACACGTCAGTGGTTCATTTCATAACTTCTTTGGAGTTATTAACATTTGCAAACTAAGATATAAGTGTAGCTGACAGTTTGCTGACTTTGTGATGCTCTGTGTTACTGTTTGCCACCGTTCAGCAAAAGTTACATTGTCTTACTTTAAATGAAAAATACTAAAACATCTCAAATATATACGTATATAAATACAAAAATAATCTAGATTTTCAGATAGAGTGCCTCTCCAAAATGTGCCCCAAAATACAGATTCTTCTCCCAACTGGACCCACTTTTTCTCCGCTCTCTCTCGCCGACAGTCACCTGATGAGCAGGTGTGTCACTCAGCTCTCTGTTGTGCTGCAGTTTCAGATCGACGACGGCAGGAATCCCAAAGGTCGAGACAAGGCCATCGTCATCCCGGCCCACACCACCATCGCCTTCAGCATCTGCCAGCTGTTTGTTCGACTGGACGGGCGACTTGGTAGGAAGGCGGATTCATCCTTAACCTGCTCCAACATCCACATAATGCATGCTGCATTTCAATGATCTTCTGTTGCAAAACACAAAACATACAAAATAACGGTGCTGGAACTAGAAACTGCACCTTTGGGTGACATATAGCTTTCCAATGTTTTGCTGACTTTGACTTTTAATCCACTGCTAACAGAGCTGAGATGAAAGTCAACAGAGCACTTAAAGGATAAGGAGAAATGAAAGGCTTGAATCCCTTCATGGTTGAAATTGTGTCACACATGAGGAGCTGTGGATGCTTCATTTGTGGTTAACACCCGAGGCTCCTCAGCACTCTTCATGCCACACATTCTTATCTTACTATAACAATTTCTAAACCTTTAACCATGAACAGTTATGGTGTCATTATGTCTTATGATTGTGGCACCTGAGATTAGTTTTCTAAAGTTTCTATTTAATATGAGCACGTCCCCTAATGGACAATGTGTCTGACTCTGGATCAGAACATGGAAGATTCGAGTCCCTTTGTGGTTGAAAGCTCTGATCTTGTTTGAGGAGACTTGATGGAAACATGTTGTTGAGGACAATGCAAACAATACTTCCTGCTGCCACGGTGTTCTCTTAGATAATGGAGAGTATGTTGCTCTGCAGAAACGTGGGCGTTAACTCTCACATGCAAAGCGAGCAGGTTACATTTTGAGCTAATTAAGATTAACTGACGTATTTAATGCTGCAGAACAAAACATTAAAATCTCTTCACCTTGTGTTCACCACATTATACCAAATTATTAATTGCGGCTTAATTTCCCCCTTGAATGAAAATACACCTTCATTGCTGCCAACATTTTAGATTCACAGCACAAAAGAAATGCTCCAACGTTGGCATGATCTCTGAACTACATCTTCTTCCTCTGTGTCAGATGTCTGTGTAGCTCCGGAGTCTCAAGGTGGATTTGAGCGGGAGCAGATCAGGGAGCAGCTCGGTGGTTTCATCGGTCACTTCTCCATGGGTCGACTGCGTCGGTTCCTGTCTGGAATCATCTATGGAAACCCTTTCAGAGCAGGTACCGTAATCACCTTGACTGCATAATAAAAACACCATTACTTTCGCTACATGTTTGCCTTTTTGCTTTATCCAACCACTGAGCAGAAAACCAAACGTTTGAGGAGCTCACCCAGTCCGACACATACATGGACGACATGGTTACCGACTACTACGAGAAGGCCGCCAGCATGACGGACGTGTCCACTACCTACCTGAGAGAAAGCTCCCACACACGGGTCAACCTCCTCAAACACAACATCCCCAAGGGGCCCTGCGCGCTCTGCGGCATGGGCAACCAGAGGCGGGAAACTGTTTATGGCTGTCTGGAGTGCACAACCGGGGGCCAGAAATACGTCCGGCTGCATGTTGTGCCCTGTTTCGACCTCTGGCACAAAACGCTGAGGTGAAAAAGAAAAGGGCTTTGTTCATGTTCTGGTGATGCGAAATATGTGCAACTGTTTTTGAGATGTTTGTTCTTGTAATCTTTCAAATAAAAGTCATGATAACTGCACTTGGACTGGACTTTGTAACACCTTAAGCCGCCAACTTTTTCAGTAAAATATGTATAAATATAAACTTGTATTATCTCTCACTTTGCGGTATAAGAGGTGCAGTATCGCTTTCAGTGTACCTTTGGCATGGACCCATTTCTACCCGTGTGCTGTGTGCGTACTGTAGCTGCCAGCTGCTGAATTATTCAGCGGGAGTATTGGGTGTAAATGAATGGAAGGGATCGTGTGAAGGCCAGCATCGGCCTGCTTTTGTTATGTTCCAAGTGTGTCATTTATTTTGCTTTCACCGTGTCCAGTGTGTGTGTATATAGCCTATCAGAACTAATAGCTCTTTCCACTTGCATTCACTTTGACAGAACCTTGTGGGTTTTTATTTATAAAATAAAGGTTGTGTCATTTTTAACTTCAAAATTCACATAGTTTCACTTCAAGTCAATAATGTATCTTTGGAATTGTTGCTTTGTTTTACTGAAGTTGCTTTTAAAAAATACTATTATTTAATGATTAACAAACAAGCGGGTTTGCCTCAAATCCAGAAATTATTTGACATTACTGACAGTGGAAAATTTGTACCTTTTTAGTTGCTTCCCCTTCTAAAAATATGTCAAATATTTTGTTCAATATTCTAAACATTTGTCGGTTACATGTGAAGGTAATTTGGTAAAAGATCTAGTCCTACAATATGATAATACTTCACCAGAGGAGCCTATATAAACCATAATATTAGGAATATAATAGTTATTTCTTACAGTGAATTTGAGAAGCATCTCAAAAGCAAATATTGTATGTTTTACACAATAAATTTATTTTCAGTCGTTACCCTCCCTTCCGCTAGAGGGCGCTGCGTTTTAACTTGAACTCACTCTCTCCGGATGTGTCAAAAATCAACAAGATGCTCACACGTGTGGGGTAGTGGAGGAAGCAGCATGTGTAATATTAACCATATATTTTTACTTCTAAGGAGAAATATAAGCTATTAACAAGTAGTCAAATGCTTTAAGTTGAAGGGATAGTCAGTAAAATGAAGTTTGCTTATAAGGTAAGTACGCCGCTGCTAGCTAACTAGCATTTCAATGAAGTCTTACGTTTACCAGAACACGATAGTGTTTCGCTAACAGGTAGAAGTCATTTTATTTATTTAAGCAAGAGACTATCACATTCACACATTTCTGAATGCGGTTCGTGATGAAGTTCTCTGCTTAGACGCAAAAAAATGAGCTTATAAGTGATTTATAAAATAAAAAGTATTGTGTCTTCATTGTAGTTCTCCAATCTGCTCGGAGCAGTCTATCGTCAGGGAAATCTGAGTTTCTCGAAAGATGGCAACGCTGTGATCAGTCCGGTTGGAAACAGAGTCTCTGTCTTCGACCTGAAAAAGTAAGTGGTGGTTATTAAATACATGAACATATGGGAAATTGTTCATGCTGTCATATGTAAGGTATATGACACCTGGATGTTGCAAGAGAGAAAACTGTAAATAATGCATAAAAAGAAAGTAAGTTGTAACTGAGAGTTGACGGACTGTTTTCCTTCTCTGTCCTCCAGCAACACGTCTGAGACTTTACCCGTCTCCACAGCGAAGAACATAACGTGTGTGGGTCTCTCTCCTGACGGGAACTTAGCAGTCGTGGTGGATGAAGGTAAGATAACACTTTGTGTCTCTTCCTGCATGAACTTAAACAGGAGTTTGTGTTTCGAATGCATCTTTGTGTTTGTGTCGCACAGATGGCGCAGCGTTGTTGGTCAGTCTCGTCACCCGAGCCGTCCTCCATCATTTCCACTTTCACAAGCCCGTCAGCAGCATCCGCTTCTCACCTGATGGCAGGTAAGGACGTCTGGTGGACACAATTACCAGTTTACCAAATGACTGACTATAAAGTTCCTAAATGACTTAAAACTCAAAACTGTTGCTGAGCTTCGATGTGTTTGTTCCCTCTCAGGAAGTTTGTTGTGACGAAGGACAACGTCGCTCTGATGTACCACGCTCCTGGAAAGCAGCGTGAGTTCAATGCCTTCGTGTTGGACAAGAGCTACTACGGTCCCTACGACGAAACCACCTGCATCGACTGGACGGACGACTCCAAGTGAGTAAAAGTTCATTAGACATCAAAGCGTTCGAGAATCCTGAGGAAAACCAAACGGGTCACGGTTTTGACATGTTTCCTTCAGGTGTTTTGTGGTGGGCAGCAAAGACATGTCAACGTGGGTGTTTGGTGCAGAGCGCTGGGCCAACCTCATCTACTACTCCCTGGGCGGACACAAGGACGTAATCGTGGGCTGTTTCTTTGAGAAGGACAGCCTGGATGTGAGTTTGAAAGGATAAATGTGGTTTTGCATAAAAAGAGAATATCTTTATAGAAATATTGTGTTTCTCCCGTGTTGTTAGCTGTACACGGTGAGCCAGGACGGGACGCTGTGCGTGTGGGAGAGCGACACCGAGCTAGACGGCCTCGTCCTGAAGAAGAGCCAGGACAAACCCAAGCCCCCGAGGCAGGGGGACGAAGAGGAGGAGGAGGAGGAGGAGGAGGAGGAGGAGGACAGAACGGAGGGAGAGGTCATCAGAGGGAGAGCTGAAGCTCCCAAAGAGAAGGACGAGACCAAAAACGTTCGATACAAGCAGAGAAGCAAGTAAGACCCCTCTCAAAAAACAGTCCCAATAGTTCCTCACAGCCAGACGTCTTTCCAAAACACTCTAATGTTCATACTTTGAGTGCCAATTGTTATTATTGTTGCATCATCGTCTTGTAGTCATATTGTCTTTCCAATTAAAGCTGCAGGAACCTGTTCTCCAACAAAGGGAGGATGAATATCAGATGATTCAAAATGTCAAAGTACTCCGAAGGCTTAAAGAAACGTTCTTTCTTTTCTGCTCTTTAAGACACTTCTTCAACAAGGAAGGGGATTTTAACAGCCTGACAGCTGTCGCCTTCCACAAGCCGACTCACATCCTGGTCACAGGGTTCGCCTCGGGAGTCTTCCACCTGCACGAACTTCCAGAGTTTAACCTCATTCACTCCCTGAGGTGAGACACATGTTAGGTTTCACGCTGGAGTGGGAATTCAGGAGAAGAGGACTTGAATATACATGTTGCATGTTTTTAGTACTTTGCACAGAAGTAAAAAAAGACATGACTTACTGACTGGGTAGTTAATATATACTGTATATACTAAATACAATGCTTCGTCTCCCAGTATTTCCGACCGGAGAATCGCATCAGTGTCTATAAACAGCTCTGGAGACTGGATTGGCTTTGGGTGCTCGGGTAAGAAGTCTTTTTCTCGTGTGTTGCGTTTCTTTTATATTTTCTTGACTCGATGAGTTCCTGATTATTTGTTTCTAAATGTCCATGTTGTTGTGTCAGGGATGGGTCAGCTGCTGGTGTGGGAGTGGCAGAGCGAGTCGTACGTCTTCAAGCAGCAGGGACACTTCAACAACATGGCCGCTCTGGCGTACTCGCCAGACGGACAACACATCGTGACGGGAGGCGACGATGGCAAAGTCAGTGACTGTCCACTGCTGCGTGTTTCACCATCATACAGACAGACGTATCAATGCTGTGTCAGGGATGTGAATGTAAAAGAAATGCATTTTCATCTCCGCAGGTCAAAGTGTGGAACACCAACAGCGGCCTTTGCTTCATCACCTTCACGGAGCACACCAGCAGCATCACCAAAGTCACCTTCACCTCCAGCGGCTTCGTCATCGTCAGCGCTTCTCTGGACGGGACGGTCCGAGCGTTCGACCTGCACAGGTGACTTTCAGGGAAGCTGGTTGACTTCCAACATTTGATGGGAGACTGTAAACGACAGAGATGTGTCTAAAGAGGAATGACTTTTAAATCTGCGTGTGTTCCTTTGTGGGTTCCAGGTACAGAAACTTCAGGACGTTCACGTCGCCTCGGCCGGCGCAGTTCTCCTCCCTCGCAGTAGATGTCAGTGGAGAGCTGGTGAGCGCAGGAGCCCAGGATTCCTTTGAGATCTTTCTGTGGTCCATGCGGACCGGCAGACTGCTGGAGGTGAGCACAGAACACATATCAATGTTAATGTGGCCGATGTTTGAAGATGCTCTTATTCACCTCCTTCTGCTTCCTCCCTGTGATGACCAGGTCCTCGGGGGCCACGAGGGGCCGGTCAGCTGCCTGTGTTTCAGTCCGGTCCAGTCCATCCTGGCCAGCGCCTCGTGGGATCGCACCATCCGGCTGTGGGACATGTCGGACAGCTGGCAGGTCAAAGAAACGCTTCCCCTCACCTCTGACGGTAAACGCAGTCTCAGTGTGAATTCCACATCGCTCTTTAACGATGGACAATGTGGAGTAACTCTTTTGTTTTCCCTCAGGTTTGTCAGTGACGTACCGCCCTGACGGTCAGGAGTTGGCTGTGGCCACTCTGAACGGTGAGATCTCTTTCTGGGACCCACAAACAGCCACACAAACCGGCTCCGTGGTCGGACGCCACGACCTGGAGACGGGCCGCAAAGAGACGGATAAAATCACTGCCAAGCAGACCGCAAAGAGCAAGTGAGTGATAGCGTGTTTATTTTGGTCCAAACCACGGAGGGCAAGTCACAATTGATGGCTTTCTGTTGATCTTATGATTCAGGTTCTGTTTCCTGTTCTTTGTGTGTTCAGGTCCTTCACGTCGCTCTGCTACTCTGCGGATGGGGAGTCTGTTCTGGCGGGAGGCCAGTCAAAGTTCGTCTGCATCTACAACATCAAGGAGCAGATGCTCATGAAGAAGTTTGAGATCTCCTGCAACCTGTCCTTTGATGCCATGGAGGTACTATAACTTCACTTGAAAGTTTTCTACTTGTTCACTTGGTCCTTGAACTTCACTCTGTGTTGTGGCCCTTCAGGAGTTCCTGGACCGACGGAAGATGACCGAGTTCGGCAGCCTGGCTCTGGTGGACGAGGGAGCTGGAGACGGGGACGGGGTCAACATCAGCCTCCCTGGAGTCAGGACAGGTAGGATGCTCACTTCAATTCTCAGACCAGCTGCTGGTCCCGCTGGTGCAGAGACCACCCACCTCCAGGACATGAAGACAAAGACATCACTTCTAGTTGTCTGTTCCTGTATTTCCTTTTCTTTTCTACATATCTATAGATGTTTTTTCTTTTTGTGCATCTTTACAGGTGATATGAGTTCTCGACACTTCAAGCCGGAGATCAGAGTGAGCTCGCTGCGGTTCTCCCCTACTGGTAGGTCGGCTTCATCGAGTTTTGGGAGTCGGAGTGAAGTCTGACAAAAGAGATAAAAATGTTGCTTATCTTTTGGAAGGTTTTGGTCTTTCAGTCTCCATCATATTTTAAAATGCAACTGTCAGGAAAGCAACAAAAGTCTTAAGTTGAAGAAGGTGTAGGAGGAAAGGAAACCCGTTCTGGTCACATGACATCCTAAACATCCTGTCGTTCTTCTGAATGTTTAGATGACCATGTGAGGGGGAAACAGGGTCGGCTCATTTCATAAAGGGGTTCCATCTATTGTCAGGTCGTAGCTGGGCGGCCACCACCACCGAGGGCCTGCTGGTCTACTCCCTCGATGGGTCTCTGGTCTTTGACCCGTACGACCTGGACCTGGACGTGACGCCGACCAGCATACGTAAGCAGCTGAGGCTTCAGGAGTGGGCGGCGGCCATCGTCCTGGCATTCAGACTGAACGAAAAAGCCCTCAAGCAGGAAGTGCTGGAAACGATTCCACACGAGCAGAGTGAGTAAACCGTCCTGTTTTAAATGTTCGGCTCTGAATCTACACCCTCTGAAGCTGACTGTATCTGAATGGTGTTTGGGTTTGTGCTCCAGTCCCAGTAGTCTGCGGCTCTCTTCCTGACATTTACGTTGAGAAGCTTCTGGGGTTTGTGGCGGAGAGTTTGGAGAAGTCCGGTCACCTGCAGTTCTACATGACTTGGGCCCAGAGCCTGCTCATGCTACACGGACAGAAACTCAAGAACAGGTCGGCTCCCAGTCTGGTATATTTTGATTTAATTGTTTTGTCACATCACTGTCTCCATATAATTGTGAGTGACTACTTATCTGGTGTGCAGGTCTGGAACCATACTGCCCACCATCCAGGCTCTACAGAAGAGCATCCAGAGACACTTTGACAACATGTCCAAACTGTAAGTCTCAACATTTCTTTGATGTCACGTTATAGTACAAGTGAACCCTGAACCCAAAGTCTTTTCTTTGCACAGGTGTGACTTTAACGTGTATAACATTCGCTATGCGGCGGCTCTGTCGAAGCAGAGGGGCATAAAGAGAGCAGCTGAGGAGGAGGAGGAGGAGGAGGAACATGCGGAAGATGAGGAAGATGAAGAGCTGTCAGAGCAGATGAGCGTGGCCTCCTTGGAGGATGCAGACTTGATGCTGTAGGCCTGAAGTCAATCCACCTCAGTCGAACAACATGGCAGATATCACTGCAAAAAGAGGACAATAACTAATGACTTTAATAGCAAACAAATTTCTGTCTACTTAAACTGTTTGTTTTTTTAATAAATACATGTAATGTGTATGTTTTTATGTGTTCTTTAGCCTGCATTCGGTTTGGTTAAATGTCCTGCACACACAGATGATTTATTAGTCTGTGAGGGTTTAGTTTTGTCCCGCTGTCAAATCCTCGAGTGTTTGAGGGCTCTCTGGCAGATATTTATGAACCCTTTCTGTAAGTCAGCATTAGATGTAGACTTTGCCCACGGTAATTACCCACAAATCATTGCAATGTGACGTTAAACATGGGGTAACCAGTGGAAGCATGGAGATATAAAAAACAGTAAACAAAGAAGAGGATTAAGGATTAAAGATGGAACAAAAAATACCATATGAAATCAGAGGATATTTATTTATTTTTTCATCAAGTATTTAATTTTGTCATTGAAGCTGTTTTGACAAAAAGGAGTAAATGGATTATTTGAAATTGCCTCTCTTGTGAGGAAAGAACCTGGAAGATGTTCAAATTAGGGAGTAAAAAGTATATATTATATATCCACAATTGTACATGTTTTTGGATTGGGCCTAAAATTACTTTGATATGCAGCTAACGTTACCTAATTAATTACAAATTCGTCTTTAGTTTGAACGCAATGCGTAATTAATCTCGTACGCTTTTATTTTTGAATGATTCAACCGGAAGTATTGATTGTGTAATCTTTCTAACTTGATAACACTTGTAGTTATTGACTGTGACCACTAGAGGGCGGTAAAACTCATGCTCTAAATCTAATATTACTTTGATATACACTTACTAACTTTGTATCGCTGTAGCTAACGTTAGCTAATCAATTACAAGCTCATCTTTGGTTTGAACACGATGCTAATTGTATTAACCAGCGGCCACACTGTTGTATGTATCATTTAATTATATATTTACAGACTGCAGTGACAGTTTTATCACTAGTCAATAATCATGAGTATTCACTGCCCTCTGGTGGTCAAAATGCGTAATTACATCTTGTATGCTTTTATTTTCTAATGATTTAGTCGGAAGTATTGATTGTGTATAATTTTTCTAACTTGATAACATTATGTAGTTGTAGACTTTGGCCACTAGAGGGCAATACAGCTCATGCTCTAAATCTAATATTGCTTTGATATACACTTGCAGACTTTGTATCGCTGTAGATAACGTTAGCTGATCAATTACAAGCTCATCTTTAGTTTGAACACAATGCTGATTGTATTACCCAGCGGTCACACTGTTGTATGTATCATTTAATTCTATATTTACAGAGTGCAGTGACAGTTTTATCGCTATAGTCAATAATCATGAGTATTCACTGCCCTCTTGTGGTCAAAATGTGTAATTACATATTGCAAGCTTTTATTTTTGAATGATTTAGCCGGAAGTATTAATTGTATGTAATTTGTCTAGCTTGATAACAACACTGCTGTAGTTGCTGACTTTGGCCACCAGAGGGCGTTAAAACTCATACTCTAAATCTAATATTACTTTGAAATAAGATTGTCAAACTACCATACCCGGCAGCGGAGCGGAAAAGGCGGAGTTTGAGCCAAAATGAGGGAAAATAAGAACATGTCCGAGTCCCCCTCTCAAGCGGGAAAAGAAATACCGGCGAAAAAACAAAAACTAAGCAGTGACGAGAACAGTAACCCGGATTTATCCGGAGACGAGAATGTAAGCAGTTAAAATGTGCAAAATGTGTTAAAATGACCCATAAACCGCCTCAAGCGAGTTAGCATCGTGCTAAAGTAGCCGTGACTAGCTAGCATCTTTGTTCGTCTGTACCGGCTAGATGTGATTAAGCTGTGATGATAACAGCCGTTAACCGCTTAAGGCTGTCCACACGACCGAAGACATAGTTAGCTTCATTGTTGTGTATTTATACACGTTGTTTTTAATGCTCAGACTACAGTCATTCTATCCAATGCTAGCGTTAGCAGTAGCATCTACTGTTAGTTAATCACGTGACAATGTTGACTTGAGATAGCTTCTGAATTAAGGGTTGTGAGATGATAAAAAGTAACTTGAGTTAATGAGTATCAGCCATGTTGGACTCATGCAAACACGATTTAGCTCCTGTCAGCAGATTTAAACCTAAACAATGTGTTTATATTCATGTAATTGCTGCAGAAGTACAGCTCAGTACAGTAATGCAGGTTATTGTACACCTTAATGTACAAGATGACATTCACTGTGTGCACTGTTGCTTGTCACATGTTAGTAATATGACTACAAACCTCTTCAGTCCTGATAAGAGTGAACTATTAAAGGATAAATGTTAGTTATTGTTACTGTGTCCACTGACATGGTGATCAACAGAGACTGACATTCCTGCAGGAGAAATATAACATGTGTACCCACCACCTGTGTCTCTGTGCATCCTGCAGGATGATGCTGTCAGTGTTGAGAGTGGGACCAACGCAGAGCGCCCAGACACACCCACCAACACTGCCAACGCCCCGGGCAGAAAGAGCTGGGGCAAGGGCAAGTGGAAGTCCAAGAAATGCAAATATTCTTTTAAATGTGTCAACAGCCTGAGGGTGAGTACGGACAGTTTGTTGAGCCCAGGTTTCATCAGTTCTTCTTCTAATACTTTTCTGAAAGCTGTCACATGATGTTCATGTCCTTTCCTGTCCATCCAAGGTTTATTTAAACCTCTTTCATACAGCTCCATGTGAAGGAATGCAGCCTTAAATAGCCAGCATGTGTCAGGTGTCCTGTGTTCATTTCACCCTCTGAATTTCGTTAATAATGACGTGATGATTTCCACAGGAGGACCACGGACAGCCGCTGTTTGGTGTCCAGTTTAACTGGCACAGCAAGGAGGGAGACCCGCTGGTGTTTGCCACCGTCGGGAGTAACAGGGTCAGCAGTGATGAGGGATTCATTTATTCCTAACTGGCTCCATTTGTTGTCTTGTTCCATGCGTAACGAATGCTGTCTTCTCTTCACCAGGTAACTCTGTATGAATGTCACTCTCAGGGAGAAGTGAGACTCTTGCAGTCTTATGTCGATGCCGACGTATCCTTAAACGTTTCTAACTTCCTCATTGTCATCCTGTCACTCAGGTCTAGATGTATTTGTTTCAAACAGCTATTCTATAACCTAGATGTAAAACACACAGACCAGTGTTCATAGCGAAGCAGACACTTTAGTATCATCCCATGATGTTTTAAATCCAGCCTTTGATGTGAGATGCGAGTGCTCTGCAGGATCTTCTAGTTCAGTTTTTAATTCCTTGACTGAATGTGTGTGAAGGCCGAGGAGAACTTCTACACATGTGCTTGGACCTACGACACCAACACGAGTCATCCTCTGTTGGCTGTCGCCGGGTCCCGCGGCATCATCCGGGTGATCAACCACATCACGATGCAATGTATCAAGGTAAAGATAAATAATACGGCTTTGTGTTTTCCTGGTCAACAGTACTCCGCCTCACATTTCTTCTCATTCCTCTGTGTACTAAACATGATTTATTTAAAGTAAACACTGATTAGTCTCTCACATGATGAAGGAGTGACGCTGTCCTTCCCACCTTTACCCAGCCTAGACTTTGAACCGTTCTTGTTTTTAAATGCAGCATTATGTCGGTCACGGAAACGCCATCAATGAGCTCAAGTTTCACCCGAGGGATCCAAATCTCCTCCTGTCTGTCAGCAAAGGTAAAAAACCTCCAATAATTCTATTAATATCATTAAACTCTCACACAGAAACGCCAATAAGAGGACCATGTGCCACGTATTCCTTTTGTACGGTGAATACAACTTCAGTTAGCGTGAGAACGGCCCAATATTCAATATCAACTTTATGACTTTATTGACTCTCTGTGATTTGTTACCTTCTTTATGTCACCAGCACGTCTATAAAGTTTCTTTATGTCGATAGGTCTTGTTTTATATCACTGTGTGATTGTCAGGCGGCTCACCTGATGACGCTGGTGTGGAGTTTAATCTTTTATTTAATCAGGTGAATGTTGACGGAGGACATTTCATGTTGTTGCCGTCAGTTGTTAAATCATTTGACTCCTGCATGAAGAAGCTGGTTCTAAACGGTCTAACGTGCATTAAATGTTCTTTGCATTTAATAAAGTTGTGACGTGTTCCCTCAGATCACGCTCTCCGTCTGTGGAACATACAGACGGACACATTAGTGGCGATATTTGGAGGTGTGGAAGGTCATCGAGATGAAGTCCTGAGTGCTGTGAGTGTTCACTTCAATCAGAAGAACGATAAACTCAAACTATACCTGCAAGTGAATATTTATTTTTGATATCCCGCTGCAGGATTTTGATCTTCTGGGTGAGAAGATAATGTCGTGTGGGATGGACCACTCCTTAAAGCTCTGGAGAATCAACTCTGAGAGAATGCAGAAAGCCATCCGTGGGTCTTATGAGTACAATCCCTCCAAGACCAACAGGTGAAATAATAACACGGCACCATGTCGGCGTGTGGGCCGTCAAACCGTCACTTTTCAACATCTCGTGTTTTGTGTCCTTCAGGCCTTTCGTCTCGCAGAAAATTCACTTCCCCGACTTCTCGACCCGAGACATCCACAGAAACTACGTGGACTGTGTGCGGTGGCTCGGGGATCTTATCCTCTCCAAGGCAAGTCAGGACCGAGTGTGAAGATATTTAATAACACGACTACTGGCAGTGAAATCGCTCTCTTTGTGAACAGGCATACAAGCTGCTCTGTGTAGCTGTCACCATTGATTCGGTCTAACGTGCTCCCTGTCTCACTGCAGTCCTGTGAAAACGCCATCGTCTGCTGGAAACCAGGGAAGATGGAGGAAGACATCGACGTCATGAAACCAAGCGAGTCAAACGTGACCGTTCTGGGACGCTTCGACTACAGCCAGTGTGACATTTGGTACATGCGCTTCTCCATGGACTTCTGGCAGAAGGTGGAGTCTTTTATTTATCGGCATTGTTCATTCACAGCTGCACATGTGGTACAATCTTTGATATTAGTGATGTGATTGGTGGACTCTAGAGGTGCAGCTGAGATCTCTTTGTGCTGATGCTGATCTTTCAGATGCTGGCTCTGGGGAACCAGGTGGGGAAGCTTTATGTGTGGGACCTTGAAGTGGAAGACCCACACAAAGCAAAGTAAGAATCCTTTAGTCCCGAAAATAGTCCAAAAATATGCTGATCTATGTCTTTAAATGTCTCCTTTTGTCCGATCAACAGCCCAAAATAATCACATTATAATGATATAAAAGGAGAAAAGCAGCAAATCGTCACTCTGGAGAAGCTTAATGATTAATTTATATTATCAATAGTTTAAAGATGTTACCACAGACTATGAGAGGTCTAGTCTGACTAATCGTACAAGTCAACAGACCAATTAATGATTTTAAAACACTGACAATCATCCTGAGTTTCACTGAATAGTTTCCACTGCATGTAAAAGTCATTATAAGGTGGAGAACAGTGTCTTGTTTTGTAGGATTTGTGTGAGATGTATGAAAATGTTTCAAAGCATCTCCTCTCTGTCCTCAGGTGCACCACACTGACGCTCCCCAAATGCACATCGGCTATCCGGCAAACCAGCTTCAGCCGCGACAGCAGCATTCTGATAGCCGTGTGTGACGACGCGTCGATCTGGCGCTGGGACCGACAGCGCTGAACGGTTCCACCTGAAGAAGAAGAAGAAGAACTTTTGGTTCCATCCTGTCGCCCTGTGTTCAGATTTACACTGCAAGAAATGTCTGTTTGAACATTTAATATTACGTGGGGTCTAAAAAATACAGCATTTCCTTAAAAAACAACAACAAAGAAGTGAGAAAAGGTGCCGATGCAGGATGAGGTGATTCCTTTAGTTTTTACGATGAGCTTCGTCAGTGGGATTGTTCCTTCATTGAGCCACAACACGAAAGAACAAAAAGATAGACGTAGTTCCAAATCATAGAAGAGTATTTAGGAGAATTAAGATCTAAATGTTAAGGAACTATAACAGCATGTCGGTGACATGTTTGACTTCAGCCCCGCGTGTGCCTTCTAGATTTCTATGCAGTCTCATCCATTGAAAGTTAATAACAGAGACGAGTGGAATCATCTCAATCAACTGCATTTGTTTTAGGGGAAATAAGCTTTTAAGAAGCAACGGATAAAATGACCAAAGATGGATTTTCTTTGCAGTGGGCCACATCTTACATTCATTAGTTCACACACAAAAGAAATGAAGAGTTGTTCTTTTTCCTCTACATTCGTTTGTTTGTGTTGATGACCTCGCTCCTCCCACACACACACACACACACACTCTGACCGGAGGCTTCGAGGACACTCAATAAAATGTATTTTATAAATATATATACTCAAGAGTCAGTTTGTGTTGATCGTGGACACTTTCATTTGGCTACAAATCTGATGAAATTGTTTCAAGGCAGCATTAGTGGTATTTTGCATTTATGTAATTTGGCTTTTATTTTGAAATTACAACCTAATCCCGCTATAATACAAAGTCAGGGTTCTTTTGCCTTTATGCACTGCTTGTACTTAAATTTATTTGGACTTGAATAAAATTATTTTTCTACAGATACATTGGTTTGTTTCTGTACCAAACTTTATCTTCAGAGAACTACAAAAGTCCTCAAATTGTAGTTTAATGCAGATATGCGAGTAATTAAGTCCTCCTTTCTGCACGTTCTGCAGAAGTCATGTGATTGGAGGCTTTGTCCACGCTTTTCTTAGTCACAAAACCTGAACTTAAAAACCATGACGTTTTCCCGGTGAGCGCACCGGCGCTGCGCTGCGCTCCTCTCTCCAACAGTCCGGAGCGCTTGCACACTGCGGACTTTTGCCCTCCGTCTCTGATAGGTGAAGATAAGCCAAACGGCGTTAAAGCAGCGCAAACATGCTTTCACCAAAGTTGACTAAAAAGCCGTCCAAGTATGTCTCCAAGTCGTCGGGCGGCGCGGTGGATCAGATCTGTATGGTCGACTGTGGCTGTAAGCCGGACTGCACCTGTAGCGTCCACTCGGCCGGCAGCAGGAGACACTGCGCGCCCGAGTTTAAGGTAGGCCTCCGGGGAGCATGCGGTCCATCTGCAGCGGAGGTTCCACTTTACTTTAGAAGTTGTGTCGGTACAGACCCACATGTGTTTGGTTCAGTTTCATTTGGCACATCAGATCAGAACAGCACCAGTGGAGATCTTTAGGTGAGTTTCTGTTCAGAAGCTCAGAGCTGCAATCAAACAGAAGTGGAAAGTAGAAGCACAAATTTATACTTCTACAATCAGAGGTCAATTTGTATCCCACAGCTTTGGCTAGAAATTACTTTGAAAATGATGTTCATACTGTGAAAAATGTTCATTCATTTATACAATATGAAGCATTTTTGTAGATTTGATTGTTAAATGCATCAAGTACTAATCCAGTAAAGCTGTGATAGTGTAGCACTCACATGGACCATGTCCTGTATTATGATGCATTAGTGCTTTTGATACTTAAAGTATACTTTGCCAATATGTATTTAGGCTGTAAGTGCACATTTTGAGTGCAAGTATTTATATATTGCAGTATTGCTAGTTTTACTTAAAGGAATAAGTTCTTCAGCACTGGTTAATTAATCGATGGACAGAACAAATGTCAATTTTTGGAACAAAAAGTACAATATTTTTCTCTAAAATGTGACGGTAGCATAAAGTGGAAGAACCTCAACATTTCACGTCAGTTCTTGAGTAAGTCTACTTCGTTACCACGACTGGAAAACACACAGTATATTTTATATATATATATATACTTTTATTTTCTCAAGTTGTTATTGTGAAATAGCTCTTGGTGAGACACTGCTCACATTTAACAGGTTACATGTGTCGCATCATTCGAGCTATCCTGCGTCTGACAAACGTTTCATTGTCAGGAGGTGAAGGAAGTTTGTGATTACGCTCATGTGTCATCTGTAACATCCAGCTCATGCAGGTGGAATGCTGTTATTGTCTGTGCTTTGGACAAAAGCCAAATGAATCATGCAAGTCGTTGAATCTCAGACTGGTTTAGGATGACTCGATGAAAGTGTCAAGGGAAATCAAACACACTCGATTGTTACATGAACACATTGACATTGTTTTGTTCACGATAACACAAATATCCAAACAAGATGTGTGCACCACCTAAATAAGACGAGAACACGAGTGAGTGAATCAAAGAAAATGACTCTATTTAGTCCAGCAGACTGGTTTCTCTTCAAAACTCACTCAGTCCACTTTTACACCAAATCAAACAAACGATCCTAAATTATACTGAACGCACATAAACTGTTTGATTTTAGTCCAAATTATGATTTTTCATTGTCTGAGAACTTTGTTATAATCGAAGCAAAACGGTGGTGAGTTATCTCAACATTATTTAAAGTGAGTTTCTGAAAACAAACAATAAATATTAGTTTTCTAAATACATCCCAACGATCATTTTAAAAGTAAAGAGAAGCAGTATTTTCCAATAACCTAATTAAGGACTTACTTTAATGAGGCCTTTCTATTCTAATCGTTAGAAAGTTACTGTAAAAGAAAAAGATGGTTTATGAAGCCAATTTGTAGCCAATCAATGATGCTGATCCCAGTGTTAACAGGCAGATTATTACAGTGGAGGGATTTGATTGGTGCTACAATAACACCTGCAGGTAGTTTTCTTCCTCATTGATAACATGTAAGATCATATTTATATACAGTTGTCAAAAGGAAAAGTTGAGACAGCATGGTGTGACGGCAGGTAGACATGATGCAGGTAGGAAGCCTATCAGTGTTATTACCTGTAAATAAAGTTAATGATACAAATCATTGTTATTATTAATAATGATGATTATATCCCATTCCCATAATTGCTTTTTTAGTTAGATTTGATCAGACTTCATTGTAGTTCAACCAAACCAAATGCAGAGATGTATAAAGTACTACTGTACAGAATGAAGAGTTGGACCAGGATACAGTATTTCTGTCTTTAGGACCTCCTGGGACACGTTTAGGCTGAGGCCTGTAGCTTCATGAGTTCCTGTTTCCTCTCATGTCTACAAGATAAACCATAAAATACAGCGGGGTCACTGGGACACAGTTTACACTGTGACGCCATACGAGAGGGTGATGTTTCTGGGAATTGTTTGCCGTGATTCGCTGTCTGTGTGTGAGGTATTGAACTTTGAACAGATGAAAGCACTCATGAACCCAGAAGTCAACATGCCACTGTTTGTCTTAGTCATTGTCAGGCAGATCTGTAGTCACTGGTCATGCGATAGAAGATTAAAGTGATTTGTCATTCTCATAAGGCACTGGCCTCCTGTTGTGGGTCTGAGTCTCATCTGGGGTGCAGCAGAAGTGTGCATGACTTTGCAGACATCCTCTACTTTACTTTAGGCTTTAGAAGTGTGCAGAGGTTTGCAACCATCCTTTTCTGATTTAAAATCCCAACTCCCCACATGTGGCCTTTGGTTACATCAAATCTACTTGTAATTAAGTACCAACTTACAGGTTTTTAATGTGTGTCACTGTGGGTTTTAAGTCTTAAGATGCGTTCCAAATTAAAGTAAAGTAATACGTGACTTCTTTGGCACTTAACTCTGTAACTAAAATATCAAGAATTGATTTCTAAAGGGTAATTTACACATCTGATAAAGAAGCATTTATCATGGAAAATGTAAGCAGCATGAAAGTAAAGTAGAGCTCTCCATGTTGTAGACTTAGTGCTTCAGTTCTGTGAGGGGCCTGTTGCTTTAAGAAGAGTCACGTTGGGAGATTATGTGAAGGGCCAGTCATGTGGATTTTAGCTCCAAACCAGCAATGCTGGACTTTTTTTTCCTGCTGGACCCCCATTGCAGCTGACAGCCTATTGAGAGGGTGAAAGCGTCAAGTGTTACTTGTACCATTTAAATTGACCACCTAATCCTCTTCTAGTTCAACTCCTGCAGTACATTATGTAGAAACCAGGTCTGTGTTTCAACAAAGTGATGGCCTCGCTGCGTTTATTCACACGGACATTAAACTCTGCATGTGGAAAACTGATGTTTTACCCACAAAGCTTAACTCTCATATCACAGACACATATAGACTCACAATGCAAAAAAGCAGTTTTTGAAATCTGAATGAAACTATTTTATGTTATTTGTTTATTTTTTCCTGATTTGATTTTTTCCAGGAATGCATTTCTTTGAATGTAAAAGTAAAAATACAAGCATAGATGGGAAGAAAGCCACTGTATAGGCTGACACATATGATGCTGCATTCATTATTTTTAATCAGAGATGAGACCATATTCTTGTCCAAACACACCAAAAAGTTACAATAGTTAGTTTTTATGATTCTTGCAGACTATTTCCACTGAAATATGATATTCACACAAAATATACCGCTCACCATCTGCAAAATACATATTCATACAGTCCCTGAGCTTATAGAAGTGACTTTATTTCTCTCATCTTTCCAGGAGAATGGCCTTGAGATCGAGAATCAAGGCCTTGACAACTTGGCCTACGAGTATGGGAGTCAGAGCGAGCTCTGCCCTCCACCCAAAACGGCCTCCAGAGCTACTTTTAAACTCCTGGGACTCGGCCCCGAGCACCAGAACCAGGCCATCGAGAGCAGAATCTGCAGCCTGAATGGAGTTCTTGCCGTCAGCTTGTCTTTACCCAGCAGCTTGGCCAAAGTGGACTATGATGCCTCAGTTATCACAACCAAAGACATCGCCCTGGAGCTCCAGAGGCTGGGACTCAACGTGGAGTCAGTGGCGCGGATCAGGGTGGATGGCATACACTGCCAGTCCTGTGTGCAGTCCATTGAGGGACAGATTGGTCCTCTACCTGGGGTGTCACATATTCAGGTGTCCCTTCAGGACGCTGCAGCGCTGATTGTGTATCAACCTCATCTAGTGACCCAACAGGAGCTGAGAGACAGCATCGAGGAGATGGGTTTTGGTGCCTCTTTATCAGCCGATGATCCATCTGGATCTGATATAAGCTACTGGCAGAGGGACGTATTGAACTCGACTGTAACCATTTGGATTGTAGGGATGACTTGCAACTCTTGCGTGCGGTCCATAGAAGGGAGGATCTGTCAGATGACAGGAGTGCAGTCCATCGCGGTGTCACTGAAGGAGGAAAAGGGAACGGTCAACTTCGACCCCAGTCTGACGGAGCCGGAGCAGCTCAGGGCAGCTATAGAGGACATGGGCTTTGACGCATCGCTTGAAGGTTGGCAGAGATGTTTAAATTGTGGGTTAATCTCAATCAAACAGAAAATAACAAGAAATATTTTAGTATGAGTGCAGAGGCTTTATTTTGAAATGAAACATGACAATGAGTGTCTCTATGGAACTCTTTATGGAAAACCAGTTTGCAAATGAGGGAAGAAGCATGCAATAAAGAGGAGTCAAAAAGTGTGAACAAATATGATCCACATTGCCCACTGGTACTCAGCTCTTCAGCTCGTTTATCTGACCTAGCAGAGCAGTTGGAACACAAGTAGCATTGAACTGGTTTTTCAGCTCGATGCAGAAAATACGTTGACATTCAAGCTATGATCCCCCCCATGAATTATTGTGCATGATGTTAAGATGTATTCAGGAAAACTATGTTATTTATATCCCCTGGTTATGAGCAGAAAGACTTTGATTAAATTCTTTCCAGCACACCTCAACTCAGTTTCCTCTGCTTACCGTGGAAACCAGACAAAGTATGCTTGAGTGCGACATGGAGGGCTCTTACGCCGGCCGCTGCTTTCTTGTTGGATTTAATGATGAAAACAGCTTGCCAAGACGTGGAATTAACTCAGACAGCAGATTAACAGCAGATTCTTTCATGTGTCGTTTGCATTTTCGGCCATCAAGCTCGACCTGTGGTTAGGTTTTGATCTCTAAGTCAGTGAGAAGCTTAATTCACACCTTCATATAAAAGTTATGTATTACATCTTGGTTGGTTTATATTGCTTTGCTGATATAAACGGAAGCAGAATATGTCTGTTGTATATGTTATGTGCAAGAGCATGGACGTTAACTCCTGATAGCTTGAAGTCCATAACATTTTAAAGAGTTTTTATACAACACATTTTAATGTAAAAGACTGTCAGACAATTATTATTTTATTGCTTTTTAATGTAAAATCTTAATCACAAAAGTAACAAGTAACTACAGCTGGTGAATAAATGTTAGGGCAAGGAAATATATTGTGATTTATTTATTCTAATTTTAGGAAAAGTACACGCCTCCATATGCATAACATCTGAGTAAAAAGGGTCACTTCTTTTGCATTTACATCCATCACTATAGTATTTGGATTGTATTTGGAAATACTCAAGAAAAGTTCCTCATAACTGTACTTCAGTACTTGAGTCATTGTACATAGTTACGTTCCTCTATTAAATTGGGAGAAACTGCAGTATTTATCCAGCAGTTTGTCATTATATTTAAGGATACTGACGCACTACTAATCTATCTTTAAGCATCCTTCTGCCTCTGACTTTGTTCCTCCTTCTACAGAACCTGCATCTGTAAAGACCGTCCAGCCTCATGAAAACTCCAGGCCTGTTAGCTCTGGACTTTCTGACCTCTCTGACTTGCAACTGCCCAATAAAGCGGGAGTCAGCAATGGCACCGGATCACAGGCGACCTCTGGAAGCCAGATTAAAGCACAAAAATGCTTCATTTGCGTGACGGGAATGACCTGTGCCTCCTGTGTGGCCAACATTGAGAGGAACCTGCACAAACACAGAGGTAAAGCAAGCTCAGGTGGTGTTATAAAGTGTGTGTTTCAGTTCACACGTGTGATGTTCTGCTTTGACTTCCAGGAATCGTCATGGTGTTGGTGTCACTCATGGCTGGAAAGGCGGAGGTGAAGTATGATTCAGAAGTCCTGGACGCTGCTGCTGTAACTCAGCTCATAGAAGACTTAGGCTTTGGTGCCAAACTGATAGAGGACAATGCAGTAACAGACGGGAAGCTGGACCTCACTGTGAGTCAACTGAGACGAATAAATTACATTTACTGGTTCCTCTGTGTTAAAGATAATACTCGTTATTTAATCCCACCATTCTTCACTCGTAGATAACGGGCATGACATGTGCGTCATGTGTGCACAACATTGAGTCCAAGCTCACCTCCACCAAAGGGATCCTTGGGGCCTCCGTCGCCCTTGCAACCAAGAAAGCCCAGATCCAGTTTGACCCAGAAGTGCTGGGAGCTCGAGATATAATCAAGATCATTCAGGTGATGATCATGTTCCTTGTTTTAACCTCCTCCCCTGTAAAGCAGTGATTTTACAGCATAACCTGGTTTATATGTCTCCTTATCTAGAGTCTTGGGTTCGAGGCCAGTCTGGTGAAGACAAGCTTCACAAACAACCTCGATCACACCGAAGAAATTCGACAGCAAGTATCTGTTCCTCATTTTGAGACAAAAAGTGTTTTCTTAAAACATCACCTTTAAGGCTTTCAGGAATTTAAAAAAAGTGGTTTTGTGCATTCTATAAAATCAGATTTATTTTAAATATATATTCCGTCTGTTTATAGGCATTTTAATTAATGTAAAATCTTAATTAAACCTTGATTAAATAAGTGCAAATTACATCAGAAACGTGTCCTGCATGAGGCAGACTATATGAAGATAATTCAGAAATTGCAGTGAACCACATCAGAAACCTGGCAGTACAGATGTCATTAACAAAATGGTGCAAAATCACCTCTCATGGGACTCAAATCCACCTTTATTTTTCCAGGTGGAAGAACTCCTTTCTTTTCAGCCTTGTTTTCGGCCTGCCCGTCATGGGCCTCATGGTCTACATGATGGTGATGGACAGTCAGCACCAGGAACATGGAGGCTCCATGCCTGAGGAGCAGAACCTGATGCCCGGCCTCTCCCTCCTCAACCTGGCCTTCTTCCTGCTCTGTACACCTGTGCAGGTAAGGGGACGTGTCTGGGGCTGGGACCCCTTTAAGGACTTTAGTTGTTCGGTGCTTCCTTCCTGTAAGAATGGGATTGTTTCCTTTATGCATTAAAGTGTGAGGCCTTTAATCCAATATAAATGCATTCAAAGCATATTCTTAAAATTTAGGTGTGCTGTAAATGGAGCACTCCTTCCTTCTTTACCTCGCAGGAATTTAAAGTAAATTGATACTTTAATGCACATCTTAGACTTAGACACTTGATAGCTGCTGGCTCACCAAACTGGTAAATAATCTGCCAACGACTTTTATGAATGATATTACCAAGTATTCCTTCTTTGCTTGTCCTTCAGCAACCGGAAGATTTTGTCTTGAGTTTGTTCTTTTAATCCAAACGTTAAATCTGTTTTTCTTCCCTGCAGATCTTTGGAGGCCGATACTTCTACGTCCAGGCTTATCGCGCGTTGAAACACCGCACAGCCAACATGGACGTGCTCATCGTGTTGGCCACCTCTATTGCCTACATCTACTCCTGTGTGGTCCTCATTGTAGCCATGGCCGAGCGAGCCGGCCAGAGCCCCGTCACCTTTTTCGACACTCCACCCATGCTGTTTGTGTTCATCGCGCTGGGCCGATGGCTGGAGCACATTGCAAAAGTAAAAGAACATATTTTCCCTCAAAGTTTCTTTATGTCATTAGTATAACAAAAATGATTTACCCTTGAAATGCGTATTGATAAAACTGCTACATCATATGGCTTATCTAAAGGTGCAATGTCTTTTATTTTGAAACTTCAATATTGTTATGACATCTTGGAAAAACTCTGTTAGTTTGTGGACAAGATAGTTTTTTAGAGTCTATGTTTTACAAGTGGACCACATTTCCCATAAGCCCTTGCTCTGCCGTCTGACATTTAGAGTAAAACCTCAGAGGCGTTGGCCAAATTAATGTCACTTCAAGCCACTGATGCCACTGTGGTCACTTTGGGACGAGACCACTCCATCATCAGGTGAGACACACCGCATACCGAAAGCATTTTAAGTGTATTACTTTGAGAAGTTAATATACTAGATCTGAGATCTGTAACTGTCAGTGCGTTGATGCTTCAGTGAGGAGCAGGTGGTGGTGGAGCTAGTCCAGCGGGGCGACATCGTAAAAGTCGCTCCAGGAGGAAAGTTCCCTGTCGACGGGAGAGTGATTGAGGGAAACTCCATGGCAGATGAGTCCTTGATCACAGGTAGGAGGATGGGACTCCTGACTGCTGAATTTACAGCCTGTTGACAGATAATGCTGGAGGACGTATGAGTCTCTTGGAGAAATGTTCACAACTTTATTATTGTAAAATCAATTTACTTTATTTTTCCAAGTAAAGTTTGCAGCAATCCTACTTCTTTCGTTGTGATGTAAAAGCAGTTATTGCATTTAAAATACTTAAAAATAGACTATTGTTAGTGGATGCATTAGCTGGCACCATTTACCTCCAAGCCATTAACGACATAAAATCTGATTTAGCAGCCTTGAAAAATATGTCGTAATAAAACATCCAAAGAAAACATTAGTTTGTCCTATTTGAGAAGAAGAACTCTTTGATTAAAACATTTATATCTTTTGCCTCTCTTCTTCTATGGTGGTAAGGGGAGCCGATGCCTGTCAGTAAGAAGGTGGGCAGCTTGGTGATTGCCGGCTCCATCAACGCTCACGGGGCTCTTCTGGTGGAGGCCACTCACGTCGGTGCCGACACGACTCTGTCTCAAATCGTTAAATTGGTGGAAGAGGCCCAAACCTCGAAGGTAAGACGCAGTTTGAACTTTATCTTCAGATTTTTGCTATTTCCAAAAAAAAACAAGAAAAATCCATTCACCTATGATAAGGAAATGCTGTTACACAAGGTGAAATGCTCTCACAACATGTTTTCCAATAGAAATATTTCCTCTGTACTCTCTCGTGTGTTTTCAGGCCCCCATCCAGCAGTTTGCAGACAGGCTCAGCGGCTACTTCGTGCCCTTCATAGTTATCGTTTCTCTGCTGACACTGCTCGCCTGGCTGGCAATTGGGTTTGTCAACTTTGACATTGTGAAGGAGAACTTCCCGGTAGGTGCGGACATATTTTGTTTTCACATGCAAACAAAAGCCTGTTTCATAAAAAAATTGGCATGACTCCAATAACACATTCTTTTCCTCACAGGGTTACAACAAAAACATCTCCAAGGCGGAAGTTATCGTCCGCTTTGCCTTCCAGGCCTCCATCACCGTTCTGTCCATCGCCTGCCCCTGCGCTCTGGGGCTGGCAACCCCGACAGCTGTCATGGTGGGCACTGGGGTCGGAGCTCAGAACGGGATCCTCATTAAAGGAGGCGAGCCACTGGAGATGGCCCACAAGGCAATGCTCTTTACATCCTTCTTCTGCTGACTGCTGCACACTTTTGTTATTAGCATTGTGATACTTACATTTTATCAGATTGTATTTTGTGTATTTTAAATGCATAGTTAATTTCTTACGCACTATATTTACACGTGACTCATAGCAACCTGCTCTTTTCCAAACAAGACTTAATCTCAAATATCTGTAACCTTTTATTAGGCTGAAATAATACACAATAGAAACTATGAACTACAGATTGCAGGTATTTTGTGACTCAACACTCCCTAAGATGGTTATTTTTCCCAGCAACAGGTTGCAGGTCTTCAAAGGGATTTTCATGATCTCTCAGTCTGCCCAGAATGAGAACCTGTTTGCCAAAGTTTAAATCTGACAGCGAGAGCGACAGTCTGTCGAAGCATCCAAACTAACTTTTTATCATTCTGGGGATCAGTGAGCTCACAAAACCAGTTGGATTCAGGACTGTATCTTTGTGTTTCTGCTCCCTCAGATCAATGTGGTGATGTTTGACAAAACCGGTACGATTACAAACGGCGTGCCTCGGGTGACTCGTGTGCTGGTGTTGTGGGAAATGGCCCGCATGCCGCTGAGGAAGATCCTGGCGGTGGTCGGCACAGCGGAGGCCAGCAGCGAGCACCCGCTGGGCATGGCCGTCACCAAACACTGCAAAGAGGTGACAGAGATGCTCTGTGTGTGTCAGTATTGTGTTTACTACAGCTTTGATAACAGTTGTAACAGTTGATAATCTGTCTGTGTGCTCGTAACAGGAGCTGGCCAGTGACTTGCTGGGCTACTGTCAGGACTTCCAGTCCGTGCCCGGTTGTGGGATCAGCTGCCGGATTTCTAACGTGGAACATCTGCTGCAGCAGCCGAATGAAGAGCTCTTCCTGCTGCCGGGAGCCACCACCGACGAAAGCAGCCTGCTGTCTGCTGCCGACACCACGTCTGCAGGTCGGATGGCTTTCAGTGTCTGCGGTTGCACTCACAATCATGATGTTTGAAGAACAGCTTCACTTTTTGTGCAAGTTAAAATTTGTGCCGTTTGCGAAAACAAATACATATAAGGCCTTTAAACTAGTCAGTTAAAGTTATTCAAGTAAAGATCCCCCTCCTTATCATCCTAAACAACACCATGGACTAGGCTGGTAAGATCAAATGTTTAGAGTATGGTGCTATTAATGCAAAAGTCATGGGTTCAATTTCCATACCGGTCAGTTCTTAGCATTTGCTGACTGGCCAGTAGTTCCCATTTAGAAAGGATTTGTACCTAAATAATCTCCTTTAAACACAAGTTTCAAAAGCTCCAAATTAACAAATTAAGTACATCTTAAGTGCTTTGTGGTTTTAGCTTTAATTTTCATACTAATTTTGAAAAATGTACACATCTATAATTATTAATTTAAGGCGTTACTAAGGTTGAGGTTGTGGTTGCAGGGCTCTGAAATACTTTCATGTGAAAATTAATAATATTTGAAGAGACTCTTATTCAGTATTCATGTATTTAATAGGGTTACCTTAGATTGGGGGAGTTAAGTATTTACAATTCATTAGATTTACCAAATAGCATGAAAGTCATTCCTGAATTTACGCCTTAATTAAAATGTTTTACCCCAAACCTCTTAAACCTTGCTGATAATTTGTTAAAATACCTTAATATATTACAATCCATTAATTTATCCGTTAATTATCCACCTAAAGGTGCATTAATTTAGTCACCAATATCACTAGATGTTAAACCTATAAATCCTGCTTATAAATTAGTGATTCCTTTGGTTACATACATCTCTAACGTAACTGAAATACAGACTGGTTGAACTTTAAAGGAACAAATTTGGCTAAATGAGCTATTTTACATAAAACACTGTACGTCTTCTTTGCTTCAATGTTCACTTGTTAACTCACAGACATGTCATGTCTTTGCTTCCAGGTGAGCCTCTGTCTTACTCCGTCCTGATTGGGAACAGAGAGTGGATGAGGAGGAACGGCCACCACATCGGAGCAGACGTTGATGCCGCTATGGCCAGCCACGAAACAAAAGGACAGACTGCTATCCTGGTAGCTATAGATGGTGAGGATAAAAATCAAAAAACAACACTGACATTCGCTTTCATCTCTTATCTCGCACCTCATGATGTGTTGTGTGTGTGTGTGTGTGTGTGTGTGTGTGTTCTCCGTAGGTGTGCTGTGTGCCATGTTAGCCATCGCAGACACGGTGAAGGCAGAGTCAGCATTAGCGGTGCACACGCTCAACAGCATGGGCATCGAGGTGGTGATGATAACAGGAGATAACAGGCGCACTGCGAAAGCCATCGCTGCACAGGTAAAACACATTTATAAAGGATTCTAAAAAATGAGTGGAAAATATGAAATCAAATGTTTTGTTTGATCACAGGTGGGGATCAGAAAGGTGTATGCGGAGGTGCTGCCTTCACATAAGGTGGCAAAAGTGCAGGAGCTGCAGGAACAAGGCCAGCGAGTGGCCATGGTGGGGGATGGCGTCAACGACTCGCCCGCCCTCGCTCGGGCCGACGTCGGCATCGCCATCGGCACAGGTACCGACGTGGCCATCGAGGCGGCCGACATCGTCCTGATTCGAGTAAGTGACACATTGTGATTGACGGTCTGTGCAGACATACAGTCCTTAAACTGAAGGTTTTCACACTCTGCAGAATAACCTGCTGGACGTGGTGGCCAGCATTGAGCTGTCCAAGAAGACGGTGCAGAGGATAAGGACCAACTTTGTCTTCGCCCTCATCTACAACCTCGTAGGAATACCCATTGCTGCAGGTGAGGACGGATGATCAGCAGCCAAAATATGACTCAGCATCCTCACTATCTGACAAGAAAGAATCAAAAAGCAGAAAAACATATTAATATGGGAAGGACATAAAACTGAAAAGGTGGTAAAACTGAGCTGTTAGCCAGAAAATACTGAGGTCATTAATCCAAATCACAACCTCAAGAAAACATACGAAAAAAGTTAAAGTTACTCAGAGTTAAAGTTACTTTCATTTTGTGTTCACCTTGGCGGTCCCTGTGGACAAAAGTGGTAGTGTTTCTGAGCACCAGAGTCCTCATTTTACTGCAGCAGGGTCAGACGGTCTGCCCCGCTCAGTCCTGGTTCTGGTTCTCCTGTGCCTCCCTGGAGTCTGAGCTGGTATACGTTTCTGGTGAACCTGCATGCCAAAAGAAAATCTTCTCTCTGATGGTCTCGTTTACTTATGTAGGTCTGCTAGAGCCATTTGTATTTCATAACCAGTTTAAAGTTCCTTGTAGTAAAATATAAAAAAGTAGTAAAATGATTTCACAGGAACAATTAGTTAATACTGGCATCTTGTGGTATTAAAGGAAACATCTGTTTCCAAACAACATGACTTGCAGCTTCTTGGTGAGCTTTAACTGAGTGCTTGTTCTGCTAGGTGTGTTCATGCCTGTTGGCCTGGTGCTCCAACCCTGGATGGGCTCCGGTGCGATGGCTGCCTCGTCCGTCTCCGTGGTTCTGTCGTCTTTACTGCTGAAAATGTGAGTTCATGTGAACCTATAAGTTTGCAGAAGAAGAATAGATGGTTTGCTATTTGTTCATATAAGTTATTATCTGTAATTAGTTGTAGAATTTTTGCCTGTTACCCATATTTTACAGTATACTATGTATTATAATTGTCTACAACAATCTATATATGCATTCCAGCTACATTCCTTCCCTGTTTTATCTTATTTTCTGCTGCAGTGAACTCTCTTCATTACAAGTTCCATCATATTTCATCTCTCTTGAGTTCAGAGGTGAAGATAATAACCATCTGTTCCCTCCAGGTACAAGAAAACCTCGGTGGAGCTGTATGAGGTGCGAGCGCTGGGCCACATGAGGAGCCTTCGGTCGTCGCAGATCAGCACACATGTGGGTCTGAACGACGAAGCTCGGGAGCAGCTGAGCCAAAGCGGCCCCGTCTCACCCGTCCAGGGACCGTCCATTAACTCTGCCCAGGAGCGGGACCGCTACTCCCTCCTGGATTACCAGACTGCAGAGGACCTCAATGTGTTGTGAAGGGAAGAAGGACTGAGATGTCACACATGGTTCTGGTTCTCATGTTAAGGAATTTGTAGTATTTCTATGTATTTATGTAAATAGAGAAGGCTAATTGTGCACAGAAACTCACCTTTAGCGCATGAAGCTAAACCACTGTTATTGTTGGCTCTGAGGACACCGGTTAATAACAAAGAATCAAGCTGCTAACACTTAAATTGAGGCTTTTGCTGAAGCATTGTGTCATTTTCTGCATTTTTTTTTCTCACATAAATCAAACTTGCAATGGGAAATGGGTTTGCTTGTGTGAACAAATGCACTTTTACGATATACCTAAGTCAAAGTAAAGCCACGGTGTTTGGATAAGACTGTGTCGGTGTGAGAGTCTCGGGTTATAAATAATACATGAGCAGATAAGTCAACACTTTCTACAACGTGTTTGTGCCGGTTTCATTCAACTGCTCTGATTCTGTGCTTTGATTGTAAAAGTGTCCTTCCAGCTAAGACGGAAATATTTTCCCATGTTGCTGTGTTTTAGGCTCTTATTCTTAAAAGCTACGTACCTAAAGTGCTGCAGTTATTTAAAGATGTGAAGAAGAAGAAGTGGAGGGCAGACTTTCTGGACATTTCTTGCCAATGTATTTTGAGCCTGGCCAGGGATAATTAATGGAGTAGATTAATCAAATGATTCATGGACCAGAAAGAATAGTTTCACAATACATATATAGGTTTTACGAATATAAATATGACTTTTGTCTTGCTCCCAGCTCATATGAAAGATCTTTTTCACAGCAGACATTTTGACATATGAAAGCAGGAAACGCAAAGTATTATTAACAGTAATGAATTGAATGTCCAGTCTTAATGTTATTAATAATACCCGTGCTTTTCCTGCTCAGCCACGCCAAATTGTCCATTCATAATTCCTCTGTAACACTGACTGTAGACATTAGAAACTGATGTTCTCACACACGTCACATTCAGTGCAATCCAAGCCACACAAACTGCTATTTCAGTTAATATTCAATGCATCTTTTTTGTTATTTTGTTGGTGTTTCCATAGACGTTTTGAAAACTTCAGTTTCAGTTGGAGGGTAATCCAGGGCCTTTGACCTCTTGTAGGGTCACTCACACGGAGCCTCTTTAAGCCCTCCTGGTTGTCAGAGTCACATGAGTCCAGGTGTGAACGGGTGCCTGGGTAGCGATGTGAGTGCAGCTTATTAAACGGTCGATAAAGGCCGGGGTGTTCGAGCCTTGCAAGATGTGACAATCGTTCAAATGGGGATAATGGCGCTGAGCCCTCAGAGGCTTTCACGGTGTTGCACTCCTTTGTGCATAGTGTTTGAGCCAGAAGTTGAAACCTTTCCTACCTTCACACCTCGGAGGAAAGCACTGGAGTGGACATGATTGTCAGTTTCAGAAGAAGACAGATCTGAGAAATCTGAAAGCCCTTAGTTTGAACCTGTAGCACTTTTGTGTTGTACTTTGTCTCTGCATTGTATAGTCTTTGCATTCCTTCTATTTCTACAAGGTCTTTATTGTTGTTTAGTTCTGTGTTGCTAGGTTTGAAAAAACACAGGGATGCAGAGTCGCAGATTAAATGTCTGTTATTTTCTTCTGTTGTCGTCGTGGTGTTTCTGGTTGTTGTTGCTGTTTCGACAAAACTTTTGAGAAGTTTTAAAGCTTTTCTGTTTGTGTTTCACTGGCGATGTGGGGTTGTGGATGGGGTCGGAGAGTAGATGAATGTTTTTTGGATGAAGATGCCACAGCAAATCCTGTCTCGTCTTTCTTTGATTTAGCACTTGTAGAAATCCAGCGGCGTGGATGACTGAGATTCTGTTGCTCTGTTCCTGTCATTGTTATTTGATTCATGAATGTGGATTTGCCTCACCAACCTGTGTTATTCTGAAGGGACAGCTTTTACTGATGTTTTACATTTAATCTAATCTGCACAAAATATTGATTGCAGTCTTTTTTCTCTGTATCGTGTGTGTGACTGTACAAACACAACTTGAGGTTAATAGGGTGTCAAAATGTATTTTACAGCACTGTTATATGGGGGCACAGCACCCTGGGGAGTCCTTTGCTGGCTCAGCTATGCATCTGTAACTGTGCCGTCTGCATCTGAGTGCATCTTTACAAAAATATCCCCAGACACAGTCCGATGGTCAGACATTTGGAAAACACCCTCTGACAAACGACGAGAAGGTCTTAGCTTCATTTATTTATTTATTTATTTTGTTTGAGCATATCTAAGAGAGGGAGAAAACACACAATTTTCAGCTTGAGGATGCAAATCCTTCGACAACCAGTAAAGTCAAAGAGGATCGAGTCGAGCTTCCATCTAAGCTGTTAGGATGTCCAATTGCAGCACTGGAGGTAGGAGTACTTTTCATGAGGACACATATAATAAGAAGTCTTTTCTTGAATTGTTCCAGAGGAGGGCTGTATCTCTTCCTGATTGATAGGCCGGAAAAAGCGTTTGTGGCACAGTAATGTAACATCTGCACACATGACACTAGGGAGCTTGGAAACCGCTGACTGAGGATTTTTCAGCGATTCTGCAAAGACAATCCTCTGACCCAAGAGCAGTAGAGGAGGAAGAAATTAAGTGTATTTACGAAAGCCCAGAGGGATTCAACATTTTACTCTGTAGAGGTACACTGATAAAGTTGTTTTTAACTTTCACAGATATAAACTCGCTCTTTGTTGTGTTCTCCCCGGTACAAAGGCTGCAGCTGATAAATTACCTCCCCAGCCACTGGTTATAATGGGCTGCTGAGGGCACTGACTGGTTCGAGTCCCCCTGCAGCTGTATCTTCTTTGTGATGAATATTAATGGAGCCGTGCTTCGAAAACTGAAACAGTCAATTTAAGAGGAAACAAATTATTTGATATAAACAATACAGGTTGTGTGTAAGTTTAAAGGTTTGCTAGAAATTGTGTATTTCACATAAACAACTGGTTATTCATAGTTTTAACGGCACCAATATTTTTTAGTAAATATGAGCTAAACAAAATTTAATGTATTTGTTTTTTTTGCAAATTGTATGGCTTTATACAACCTTAAATGAAAGCAGTTAATGCCCCAGTTTAATAATTTTAGTTCAGGTTTCAAAAGACAAGACATGACAAAGTGCAGAATTCATCTTTCCTTGTAACCCGGCTCTGCCTCATCTCTCACACAAACAAACACTTCAAATGCTTTCATATCTTTTGAGAATTCATCTTGAACTGAGCGACCCTCTCTCAGCATGTTCATCCACCACCCCCTGTGCAGCACCATGATAGCGAACGATTCTCTCCTCAATAAACCCAAACACTGCATCTTCCTTCCATCTTAATTAGAAAGACCTCTCACCAGGAATCCCTCAACCTTTTTGTTGCAATGTGTTGTGACTGCTTTTCTTTGTGTCTGCACCTTATTTGTCTTTTCCACATAGAAACACTATGAGAATGCACCCTGAATGGAAACATATATGGAAAAGAAGACGGTTAACATGAGGCATAGTATGCTCCGTGAATATCTTACCAGCAGGAGTTTGTATCCATTATTGCATGGTTTTGTTTCTTCACTTGTGTCACATATGTGTTCAGCCCATTGTTGTCCATTTAAAAAAAAAAAATAGATTTCAGCTCAAATTAATGTCTGTGTGTGTGTGTGACAATATTCTCAAATGTTTGAGACATAAGAGTCTCAGCTTTCCAGTCATATTCAATTTATGCAACTCCAAGACTGTTTAGGTGCCCCAGTATGCAGAAATATTAAAATACAGAAGTCAGACGTCTTGTCCATTCGGCCACTTTGTCTCACAAAACTAAAAGATTTTTAAAAATCCAGAAGTGTCATGTCAGAGAGAGCTACGTACACTAGACACTAAATAATGACTGAACCTTGAAAAGAGCCCTGATCCTGCCTGGCTTCAGACTGTAAAACTTAACATTCATTTGCCTCTTGATGTTTTCTGTTTGACTGAAGGTCATTGTTTATGTGTGGAGATATAGGATGGCCTTCATGTAATATGTGCTACATCTCCATAAAGGTCTCCTACCATAAATCAATGACATTGCATAGATTCCAGTTAATACACTGAATAATCCAACATTAATAAAACACTCTGCTGACTTAGAGGGATAGTACAGTAGAAGGGAGGATTCTTGTTGTTGTAGCTTCATTAGTGCACTTTTAGTGTTTGTTCATATTCTGGGTTTTGCTCCTTCAGCAATAAATGCACCTGATTCAACAGCCCTGAGGAAATATAATCTGTGGCCAATTTGAGGAGCAAACAGCCTTTCATTCGGCATTACCACAGCCATGATTTTGAAGTATCTCTCCAAGACTTGATTGTGTGCTGAAGTCAAGCATGCGAGAGTCCCTTGAGTGATAATTCACGAGTACTGGTAAACAACAAAGAAGAATTGAGGCGCACTATAGTACATCTGTATGCTGAAGTTAGAGGCTCTATCCTGCTCTGTTGGGTTAAGTTGGAATGAAATAAGTCTGATCTGTACATTTTACTTTACCAATCTTAAACTATGGTCTAGGACTGGAGCAAGTGTAGAAAAATATGGATGCGAGTCATTTCTGCTGCTTATGTAACGCTAATGAAGTGCCACTCGCTTCTCTGAACTTAAACGTAGAGAGACACCCTGACCTCAACTGTACCCGGCTTATTAATATCATTCGGTTGATTAGGATGCACGCTGCGGCCCTTGGGACTTGTAAAACAAAGTGATGTGACTATGATTAAAGTTGTGACCGTTTTGACAGGAGAGATGGTGTCGAGGCTTCAAGGTCAGCATTAGATATTAAATAAAATATATTAAGTGAAAGATGGAAGAAACCAGAAGACAGGCCACACATTTATGCCCATAAAATATAGCAAATCAACCAATATGTATGGGCCACCAGTGCTGTTAAACTGTATTAAAGCTGTTTTCACGTGGCAGCCCCATTCTGTAGCTCTGTCTGGATGTATTGTAAGAACAGGAAACTTGACAATAGATCGGCGCCTATTTCATCATATAAGAACGGCTCACCTGCAGCATACGCCAACAAAGTTTTGTAGCTTCTGGGTTTACTTCCGGGTTATGCGGCTCTGTTGTTTTCCCTCGGGTTCCAGCTAGTTCCCTGTGCTGCATGAAGTCATGAGCAATTTTCTGCTGGACAATATTAAACAGTATTCACTTTGTAAAAGAACAGGATGCTTTCATCCTCTCCCTGACCCCGATGATGTCCAGTATCAGCTGGAGCTCATTGAGCTGCAGTGCGAGTTGTGCAGCCGACATCAGCAGCTCTCTCTTGTGAACTTTTACCGGCAGTGGGATAAAAGCGGGTTCCCAGACATGCTAAAGTTTGCAAAGAAAATGCTGAGCTTGTTTGACACATATTGAGCAGACGTTCTCTGTTATGAACCTGATCTCAATCTTTTGAGGTTTAGAGGAACTGATCCTGCACCTACGTGACATTTTACACATCTAATGACCTGAATAGGTTGATAATACAACCAACCCCATTTCAAGATATGAATACTGCGAGGATGTTTATTTGCAATGGTAATAGCTGTCATTGACGACGATATTATTACATCTCTCTTCCATTAAAAAATAAAAGTACACATGTGACACATATGTGCATCTAGATAAACATCAGTGGGGAGTTTAGAATAAAAAATAAACAAACAATTCACTCCAGCAACGATTTATTTTTCTGTTCCTGCATTTTCTTTTTTTTTCAGGAAAAGTCTCTGTAAAACCTGAGAAACAGGTGGACGAGTTAGTACACATCTTGAACAAAGCTGCATAGTGTCTTTTTATTCAATTCAATTTCTTTCTCCATGTTTTTCAGTTCAGTTAATCCTCATATCTGGCTGGGCGTTTTATTATCCTTCCACTTCATTGCTGTTTTATGCCGTTGCATGCTCTTGACTTGTTGCTGCCTGATCCTCTGTTGATCCCTGAGTGACGGATGTGAATGCATGTCGTGTGTCTTCCATATTGTGTGGTTGTTGAGTTTTACATTTCGCTTGTGGGCTTGTAGTTTCAGAAGGAGTCTCTGTATCCTCGGTGAGGCACTTGGTTTCTTGAATATAGACACCAGCGGCTTGTTTATCCTCTGCTTGAGGACTCCACTGCACCGATTACGTTAGTTGGAAAGAGGGTTATAAAAACTGTTTGCTAACTTTTTTCTGTGCACTGAAAGAACACTTTTCATGTGAATTTAAATGAGATCCGATATGAGAACCAACGATATGCACCATAGACTTGAGTTTCATTATAATATACAAATTTGTTGACAATAATTGTTTTATTTATTGTATTCAATCATTTATAGTGAAATGTTGTTATAATAAATACAGTAAACCAGTAATAATTATCAGTGTATAGTAGTAGGCAATATTTAATACATAGTAATTTACAGTATTTTACTATAAAACACAATTGGTGTCTTACTCCAAAACATATTTTCACTATCATACTGTAAACCACATACAGCACTTAAAGCATAGTCAGGGTAACGCAGTTGTACTGTAAAACATCATTACAGCTGTAAATCGATAATTTTGGTATCTTGGTGGCAACAGTTTTACCTTAAGTTACCGCTAAAGTATAATAAAATATC